TATTATGGCTGGCAGATAATAATAAGTCTATGCTCTTCAATGAGACCGCTCCTTCGTAATGGACATTCTCATGCGTCCTCTGCTGAATTTTAAGGAAATGAGGAGTTTGAGAGTTACTGAAGAGCTCTTTGGTGGACTTACAGCATACGGAAGTGATAATTTTAGACATCTCTAGTGTTTTTCCATAGGGTGGTCCACTTCTTAAGAGCCTCCTGCTTTCTTGTGGCCAACTTTGAGTAGCCTTAGCCTCTGGAATGGTAGTTTGAATAGTTTGGAAATGAGGATCTATAGTTCCTTTGGGGCCAAGAGAATTCTCCAGTTAGATAGGGTGCCAAGAGGGCTCAGAAACTGGTCTGTACATACACTGCCGCTGAGCACGTCTACGAAAGGGCATGTTTGGCGGCTCTTTAGGGTTCNTCTGCTTGTTGTAAGTGCAGTCATCTGATATGATAGTAGTTGACACACGTTGCTTAGCTGCAACTGAAATCTCGTTCGAACACCTGGTTGGTCGTCACATCTCGTCCAATACAAAAAATGACTAGTTCGAAAAAGCTTTCCTGCGGAGCCTTGGAGGAGATGAATTTGTTGAACAGACTTCTTCTTCACAGATAGACTACTTTGTGTCAGCGTCTCCATTTTAGCTTTATAGAAATTATCAATTTACCGACCATGATTATGCTTTCAAATGGTTAGTCTTCCCAGCGTTCTTCGCGAAAATTCCATTGGCCTATCCTGGAGAATGCGAAAAATCTGCACAAATCATTACTTGGTAAAGGCGATGGCATGAAAAGCGCTCGCTCGAACACTTTCAGGGAAACCAATCTAGCGTAATAAGTTTGAAGCCTACGTGGGGACGTCACGTATGTGGGCTTGTCATCCGCTTACTTCTACCAATTAAAATATTTAATTGATCAAAGATTTCTCAAAATGAAGCCATTTCTCTCAGAAAACATCTGTGTCTGCTTTCCGGCTTCAGATGCCATCTGTCAGTGCTGTTGACTGCTTCACAATGTCACGGTTTCCATGACAATCGCATCGGCGGTATTGGCCTACAGCAACGTGAATTGCCCAGTTTGCCCATTGAAAGACTATTTCCTTTCTGGAATTTATCAGAAACTTTTCACTATGACACGCTGTTTTTGCACTTCCTATTTAAGCTCCACAATGGCGAAATGGGCCAAGGAAAGCCTACTATATATAGCTGAACCCTTTTGAAACGTTCAGGTTTGTTTTCTCCTGGATACATTGAGAGAGTTTCTCTTGCGGACATGGTAATTTGTCTGAATAGTCAGAAAACAAACCTGGATTCATATCACTCATGACTTTCTTACTATTTTGTTATTATGTGAGTCTCAACATATGAACATACCTACCTATCTTAAACTTCTAATTGGTCATTCAAATACCTCGAAGCATGCCCTCTAAGTTCTGATTTTGTCTTTGAAGTTGTTCTGATTTCAAATCTGTTCCGCGGTTTCACCAGCACACATCGCCGTATTTGTATGCACGTTTGTCGGATCGTCGGCTCAGCCGGGCTCTCCTTTCTTTGATGAAGCTAGAATGTGCGGTCGTAGGAGTTCCTGCATTTATCTCACACGACCCATGATCTCTGATAGCAGAATGCCTCAGTTCCAATGTCATGAATCATTATCTGAGCATCCATTCGAGTTGTTTTCCTGTGGTAATCATATGTTCCGCTTAATAAGCAAATGTGAGAAGCAAGCGCAGGTTCTGAACACAACCTGTTGTCATTCGTAACAATTGGAGCGATGTGGAAGGCGAAAGCGACGAGTAAAAAGCGATACGATACGACGAGTCTGTGGTTAGAGGTCTTCGACCATTTTACCGTAATCTACCGTTGTTAGCACTAGCCAAGTCTCCGAGCATGTATTGGTGCACCTACATTTCCTTTAGATCCCTCTTTTTTTGGGATATCTAAATACCTGACTAATCCAGATCATGGATCCATGAGTTAGACAGATTCAATACTCGACGTTCCCGGAGGATAATTAAATAGCTATATCATCAAACACAAAAAGAGCTATGAGCTGGCAATCCAACTGGTAATCAGTATTTAATTACACTTACACTCATGATTCTGTGGTCACGCTCTGATGGCCTTCCCTAAAGATCTATTTCTGCCCTTTTTTCGTACCAAAGTACAAAAGGTGAGTACTATCTAGACATTTCTGGGAAGGCATCTAGCACTCATCACCTTTCATAAATATGATCATGAAAGCTCGAATGCTGTTGTTCTAGAGTTTACCAGCCTTTCGAGAATAACAATTATTGATCGCACTGTCTAGTTTTTCGTCATTATGAAAACTTTATTTTGTAGAAGAATGTGAACGTCCGTTACTATGTGATCAATAGGTGTCGATTGGAATGCCTCTATTTGGAAACTTTATGACTCATAATTGAGTGGCTCAACTCGACAAAAAATTAAACTTGCAACAGGTTGTATGAATTTAAGGTGTGGATAGTGTCAGACCAATCTATGTATCTCATCCATTCTAATACGGGATGGATTCATGCGGAGACCTACGACCCATAGTTTTTTATGTGAAGCTAAACTTATATGATGAAGGTCCGATTAGTTGGCAGACTGCTGTAATGGTTCTTCAGTTAAAGCATTTTCTTGAGTTGGAGCCATGTGGATTCTACAGCTACTGCATGGACACCATTCACCGCATTCACCTCACTCACCTGTACTTCCACTACCCATCAGGTAGACTGGCAAGCGACAGTAGAGGGATTTAGATTCTCCCTTGCTTTGGGTCTTTGATCTCGAGTGAAACGAATTCTTCAAGAGTTCTAACTCTAATATACCGAGGGATTATGAGAATAGCCGCGAACCATTTTTCCTATTCAATAAGGGGCACCTCAAATATGGAGCAGCTACAACGTTGCCGTCAGGGGGCAGCCTGCTACCGCCACCAATGCAAGGTTCGAAACTTTTGGAGTTTACCTACTCTGGTTGTACGTTTCGCTTAGTGAGTATGAAGGGAAGGTAACCTAATTTTCGAACTCTACCTGCTAATTCTATAATATGTTATTCTTCAGCGTGACTGGCTTTTATTAGGGTCACTGGTACGTCCGTTTTTTGAGAAGTTAAACGTTATTATCGTGCTGCATATTTCATATTCAGCACGAGAGGTATTCATCTGGTAGGATCCGATTGCAAGTGAATTTAATGCTGACCTTCATGCTTTTGATCTCTTCTGAAGATGGGTTTTGTAAGTGAACTAGCAATCGTTATGACATCTTTCTGTTGGTATCTTCAGTGCAAATGATGAGTGAAGTGGAAGTGCGGTGGTCGGATGCAATTTTGAGTGCTTGTCGTATTTCTGCGTTGATAGTATGAAATACCTTGTTACATGGAGACGCATACTTTTAAAAATCGTTCTTGCGGAATTCACCAGAACAATTAATCCATTTGTTTTGAAGAAAGAGTTGTACGCGGAGGGACCTTTTAATACAAAACGATCACAGAAGAAATGATATCATCTGATTCCAGTGATTTCAAGAAGATTCTCGAAGAAGCCATGCGGAAGCACCTCAGGTGCACTTATGACAGTGTGGCTTCAAGCCAGTGTTTCGCCTTGAGATGTTCAATAAAGCTGTAATGAGCTTTACGAAATCACATATCGTACAGCACTCACTTCCTCCCTGTCTCTCAGATAGTTCGCATGGATAAGGCAAGCTTGACAGATGAGAAAGTTTTGAAAGAAAGGCTAAAAGAACAGTCAATGTGGTGGCCAACGTGGCCCATTGTAGCGATCTCTCTTAGGTTTTTTTGACGTGAGCTATGAACACCTTTTTGGGGGATTCGTACGACGAAGTGATCTTTTACCTTTTAAATGATTAGTTTATAAATACTGATGATCACTTTTTTCAACTGATAAATTTATTTATGCTAATGGTCGTTTAGCGAGTTTCAAACTTTATCTGTTGCTTTATGTGCTGATGCCTTAGTTGCTGCTATGCTGTGACCTACTATTGAGTAAAAGTTACCTGTAATAAAAGTACTTTCTCGGGTACCTTCAATTGTATACCTACTATTTCCATCCCATCTGATCAGCACTTACGTTTCCAGTTATTCTCGTTTCTCATGATTACCACTTATAAGTACAGTTGCTCCCATTCTTGTCACGAAGGTATCTCAGTCAGAGTGTGCTACTTTTCTTATCCACCAGACGGTTCCATAGCTATCCATCTGATAAGATGTAGCGGAACTTCCCACTGTCCCATTCTTCTAATTTTCGATTGTTCTGCTGTTCTGTGTTTGTTACCGTATCCGAGTAGTGTCCTCCGAAGGTGAGTAGCGCCTCGCTAGGTCCCCCGTTGAATACTAGTCAATTGTGGCTTCTGAATTGTTCTTCTTTTTCCTTTGACTCTTCGAAAGAACAAAATCGTAGCCAAGTGTTTGGATAGTTGTTTATTGATTGTCGACCGCTCACCACCACTATATATCCCGGGATGTCCTCAAGAAGTTATCCAAATTTCGAGCATTCCAGCTCGTATTCCATTCGCTTGAAACAGCATAAGATTGACTTCATGTTCGACTGGTTTTTGACTTCACATTTGATTTTGCATACTTTCTTAGCGTGCAGATGCTCAATGATCCTTGGACTGAAGATGTTGAATTGAAAAGGAATCTTAACTGATAAATTAATGCCGTCATTCAAACTTGGGGCTCACTTCCAGCTACTAGTGTCCCAAATCTACTGATTTTATATCTTTTCAATTTCCACACTACGTTTGTCGCAATTTGTTTTCAAGTAATACGTACACTGCTTGCACTGTCTGCTCATTTTTCAAGTTGCTATGGTGAGTGCCAGCAGCTTTCCACTTCATCCTGCCTGTGCCTTATGAAGGTTTTCCTCTAGGCATTCGCGTTCATCGAATGATGTTCTGAGTCTGAAACTTTTGCGACTATAATACCGCTGAAGGACTGATAATTTTTGTGTTTCAGTGGCGTGAGACGAAAGTGTGAAGCGATGGAAAAATACGAGAAACTCGGTAAAATCGGTGAAGGCTCGTACGGTGTTGTTTACAAATGTCGAAATAGGGATAATGGACAGGTATGAACTGTTTGCTCAAGTGAATGATTCCACCAAAAATATGCAGTACATCATGTGGAGGCATCAATTAGGATACAAATGTCACTTACTGATTACCCCATGCATTCAACTTTTATGCTAAATTACAAATCTTTAACTGAATCGATATTTCCACATCAAATTTGCAGTTGTAAGCCTTTCAGATAGTGGCCATTAAGAAGTTCTTCGAGACGGAAGACGATCCACAAATCAAGAAAATCGCGTTAAGGGAAATACGAATGCTTAAGGTAGAGTTCCATTACCATTTGGTATTTTTTATGAGGAAAAAGTGCCTACCTGGGGATATTCACAACTCAGGCAATGTGTATGGTTCATCACTCGCACAGCCGTAGGATCGAATATGAGTTTACTAGTAGATGTGATCCGCACAAGGAAAATGCTGCGAAATTGGTTAACACAGTTTTTTGTATTAACCTTCAACTACACGATTCGAAGGGGCCCTAAAATTTCGTTTGAATCAGGTGCCTCACATTTATCGGTACACTAACTGGTAAGGTGTTGAATTTCACTTTACAATTAGCAGCTGCAGGTGACGCATGTAATGAACAGTGCTGAGTTCACACTGTAAACCATTTTTTTCTTGGTCTGACTTGTTTCCTATAAGAGTAACTCGTACTATTCAAGATATGGCTTATGAATTACTTACTATTTTAAATGCTTTTTATGGAAATTGCACTTACAAACGTCACCAGTACTTGCACCTGGCACCCGGCACTTTGGATCATAAGGCTTGTAGAAAACCCGGCGGGTTGACTTGAGAAACCGATTAAGTCAAAAATGGCTGTTGTGTAGCAGAACAGGTAAGCAACCATATTCGCTATCTGAGCTATTTGAACCATTTATTCAGCTTCCATTTCAATCTGTTAGATTGGCCGTGGTCAGGCGGTTAGGTATCCAATCTACAGTGTGATTTGCAGGGGGTTTGTCTTACAACTTAGCCATCATGCGCAACAATTCCATGTACGTTTACCGTGTCAGGAACGTATTGATGCAGAGTAGTGACTGGGTTTGAGAAAAAAAAAAGCAAAAATCAGCAAAAGCCAAAGTATGAGGCTTCTCTGAATTAGTGAGTCTCTGAGCTCGGACGATATTATGACGCCAAAGGTTATATTTGGACGAAATTTCAGCCTGAGCAGGGCAAAATGGCGTAGTTATTAGTGTATATGAACCTGGTGCGCTTACAGCAGACATGCTCCGTACTGAAAGGCGCAATAGGGCGCAGCCTTTACATAGCTACATATTAGACATGTCCTCTACGGGAGTATTGACCTAGAGTAAGCAGTCGACAATGGTTTTTTTGGCCTTGATTTCGACTCATCTAAGTTCTCTAACCCGACAGTGCTCAATGTGGCCTTCTTCCTTAACAAAAAAGGAATTTCTGAGACCATTTTCTCGCAGACTGCGCTTTTTGAAAAGACAGAAGAAAGTACAGACGTCAATCACTCAAGTCTTGAGGAATGTAAAGTTAACTCGATTTGAGCGGCGAATTGATCCCGTATTCAATTTAAGGACCTTCATGGGTTCTGTTGCACTTGTCAGCGACCCAATTATACTCATTCCAATTAAGTAATCACTGGCTACTCTGGGAACTCTGAGTTCCGCTTCTTGCCGTTTACATTCGATGAGGAAGCTTTACTTGTGTGTTGCAGCAACTGAAACATCCAAATCTCGTGTCGTTGCTGGAGGTTTTCAAACGGAATCGCAAGTTGCATCTGGTCTTTGAACACTGTGATCGTACGGTGCTCCATGATTTGGAGAAATATCCAAACGGGTGAGTGTCGCTTTCACGCCTTCTTTCTCATGTTTTCTTAGTTTTCTTATACAGCGTAAAAATGTTAATAAGTAAATAAATATGTTTACGAGAAATGGAATAAAAATTAGAAATCAGAAAAAAATAAAAATTTGCATAAAATCAAAAATATAAAAACAAATAGATTCAAAGATATAAAATAAATAGAGCTTAAGGAAATAAATAGAGATAATGAATATAATGTGAAATATCAGACAACTGAAAAAAAGGGAATCCCTCTCACAGACTCTAACCCTTCTCCGCACGTCCAAGTTTTTTTCAACCTTCAAAAGCAGTTGCTAGTAAATGAGAAAAGTTGTTTGTTTAAAGAATTGTCATGAGCAGAATGAGCAGCAAAAACTGTCAATACTTAAGCAGATTCCTAAGGTGTTCATCAGAATTTCTTAACTCTCCGAACATGATGTTTCATTTTCTAGGGTACCTGAGGAGTTGACGAAAAAAATTACTTGGCAATTACTTGAAGCTTTACGATTTTGTCATTCGCACAAATGTATTCACAGGTACGTGAAATTGTTTCTAGTAATGTACCGTAACGTAAATCACCTTTTCATTTGCACACGTCGATTAATTTACGTACATAATTCACAAGCTACCTATCCTTTTTGGACTCTCTTACATATTGAGCAGCAGTAACTTACCGCTTATTAATCATAGGTACCGCTCTAGCTTTCTTGCGTAGTTCCAAGACAGTCAAAGGGCATTTCTGCCGCGAGTTCTCCGATATCCTTAAGTTTCCCTGACCGGCTATTCTCCATGTTTGGCATACTCCAAAAGTCGTAGTGACAAAATTTGTCATGAACAGCTAGAATGTTGGTGAACACTGTAGTGTAACTCCCGCGAAACCCTCTACAGTTTTATGTGATACACTTTGAAAAAGTGTCGAATAATAATTTTATTTTTGTTAATTGAGCGCCGATGTCGTTAAATTAGGCTCTCCATACCCGTAAAGATGTGTTCATAACCAGGTAGGTTGTATTTGGTGAAAGGAAGTTAATGCAAATGAACTCAATAAAAACAATCAAACGTACGGGTAGCACGGGGTACGAATGCTAGTTGTACATCATCTTTTATAAATCGTAAAGCCATGAAATTACACGAAACTTGAAAGTACAATGCTTGTTCATCAATCACTGGCGCTACTCCTAGTAAGAGGTGAGGCTGGAGTGAATCGAGTGAAGCGAATAGTCCCTATGTAAAGGTCATGGTGATGTACTACAAAATTGCAAGTATATCAGCCACCTGCGACGGGTAATTTGAATGAAAGGAAATTTTCATTTATCGGAACAAGAATAAAAAGTCACAGGTTAATGAGATAGCGAAAAAACCCCCAACATGCAACAGCCAGTTTTCCTAATCCATCACAAGTGTCCTAGCCCTTTCCTGCGATACATCCCCATTAAAGTTAGGAAGGGAGTACTTATTGGCGAGCCATGTAGTCGAGGACGCCTAGCTCACCCCTTACTGGGTTCTACCACGCCCGTGCCGAGTGACGGAGACAGACTGACTAGTATAGCTCCTAGAGTTGGGTCACAACCAGCAATGAAGGTGTCTGACGATGAACGGACGGCGATGGCTAGATAATAAAGGCTTTAGAGTCGTCGAGAAACCATTGCAATGAGGCATTCTCTCGCTTTTTGCGATGATTCCAAGGAGGACCTATGGCTCACGCGAGACAGTAGAATAGCTACGGGCTACGGTGGAATAGCTACGGGTTACGGACACTACCCTCCACTAGATTTATAGAAACCTTGAGATTTTCACTGAGAAAAGGACGCTTGTATTTTTACACAATGTTTTTTTTTNTTTTTTTTTCACAAAAGAAGCCCTGAAAGACTTGTGAATCTCTTGTGATTAGCTTTAAGTTTTAGTTCGGTATGACCATCTCTTAGCTCTGAATTATCCGTGAGCAACAAGCGTTTATGACTGTCATTGTAACGTACGCAACAGTTTCCTTGTGCTAAAGTGTGAATATCCTAACTCTCACACCACTTTCACGGAGACCGACGCACTCTCTGCGGTTGTAGAAGCACTTTTCTTGCCCTATACTGAGCCTGCGGAAACACTAATAGGCAGCTCCACACTCAGTTTACTACGGGAATGGCACAGAGACTAGTTTTGCCATTTCAAGTGATTTGGCTAATGTGAAAGATCTGCGAGAGGATTCATACCATCTTGATCTATTCCCCCTTCCTGCCTGGCTTCAACTTTTACGAGTACTATTCTCAATAGCGGCTGTCCCTATTGATTCTAGAATATCACAAAGAAGATATTGAGTCGTAGTTCACAATGATACTGGTTTCCTTCTTGGATGAACCTGTGGCTGTCGAATGTAGCACATGTGGCCCCATCGGGTCGCAAAACGAATAGGGCACAGTAAGGGTTTGAAAGCCCCACTCCACTATGCCACACCTATGGACGGCCGTTTTTTGATGGCCGTATGGAGACTGCACAATTCACAATGGGGAAGATATTTTAAAAAGTCGAACAAGTGATCAGAAGAAATAACGATATCGATAAATAACAAAATAAGACTGAAGTGAAAACAACAATAAAGATTAACAAGGTGAATTCGATATTTTGAATGCAGCCCCAACCCACGGCATTTTGGCCTGGTTCGTCAGCCGATTGTATCTGTGCTGTAGCGAGCTGTGCGCAGTAAACCACATTTGGACAGCTCGTCCAAATACCCTTTCCATGCCACTTTTGTCGCCGAATTCTCGTCGAATTCCTAGTTTTGCCACATCTTTGAGGAGTATTTTCTTTTTGAATTTTGAGACGCCAAGTTACAATTTTTTGGAAGTTTCGTACTGTTCTGAACTACTCTCTCTCATTAAACGTCTCAAACCACATACTCCAAAAGTGAAAGATTATGTTGATAGTAAATCTACCACCTGGGTCCACAAAACATATAAAAAACAATATTGCAAAGCAAGTTTTTCATTCAAAGAATGTGTTTTGAAAAGACAAGCGATTCTACTGATTTCCCGTTGCAACGTGGGTACATAAGAGTGGCATCCGTCATCCCTCTTCACATCCCACCAGTCATATAGCGAAGTGTCGTGAATCTCCGCACTTGCTAGACATCACGAAATGATTTTTAATCCTAATCTACTTATCACTCATTGGTTGATGCTTTCAGGGATGTCAAACCGGAAAATATTCTTCTCACCAAAAACGACGTGGTCAAATTGGCTGACTTCGGTTTCGCTAGGATAATCAGTAAGTATCCAGTCACTGGAATATTTCGTTTCAGATTCACGAGTTGTGCGGGTAGTTCAATAACGGAGTAATATCTTACAATAGAATTGAAATCGCGGAAGTCACCGCCATAAAGCACAGAGTAATGGTAATAAATACTTCATGAGACAGCTAACTTACGTCTTGCTCGTAACGCTTATATAGGACGAAGTGCGGACCCACTTATCTCGGGCCCGCTTGACACCGCACCATGGGGGAGACAGTGAAACGACGAAATTGTTACGGGGGTCGTCGCCGTTGACGACGATACGAGTAGAGAAAATGCATTAGCACTCTCAAATTACTGCAACATTTTTTTCACAAAATACTCTCGTAACCTTGTCGAAGCCGTACACGGGATTACAACCAGTATTAGCTTATACACTGTCAACTCGGTAAAGGCAAATACTAGATAAAGTGTCACAACCGAGTGAGGCCAAAGATGGAGGTCGTCCTTTTTCAAAGCACATCGGAATACTCTCTGGTGGAGCATCTCTTACTTTATTGAATTTGATGTTCAATGGAGGTTTTGAAAAGATGAATTGCTGTCAGAATATCACTTCAATTTCAGATCCCCAAGAAATGTATACCGATTACGTAGCGACGCGGTGGTATCGCAGTCCAGGTAAGCCTAAACAATCACATCTTTGAGCTGATAAGGCCTTTCTTGCAATAAATACCACTAGCATGTGTGATCTATATCCATTGAGATCTTGAAGAGCCTTTAGCTTTTCGAAACTTCTACAAATCCCCTATTTCGTGGACTAAATGAATGGTCGAATCAATTTTTAGAGGTCTTATGTAGTCTTATGTAGTTACCTACTGCCATGTCATATTCTCCCTATTTTACACTGTCACTTAATTTCAGAGCTCCTCGTAGGCGATACAGTTTATGGTCCTCCGGTCGACATATGGGCTGTCGGTTGTGTACTAGCAGAGCTGATTACGGGTGAAGCATTATGGCCAGGAAGAAGCGACATCGATCAACTTTACCTAATTAGGAAAACTATTGGTGAGCTGTCACTCAAATCGAGACTTTTAACTTATGCTCACTTTGAGATTTTCAATATCTACTCCAAAACAAAACGTTATTCTTCAGAAAATACTAGAAAGCCCTAACCATGACGTGTCACTCCCGATTGCTCAGCAAGGAATCTTACAATCAATCTTGTTAGAAGTGCTAATTTATTTCAAAAATCGGAGGAGCGTGTCGTCCCTGCTCTACCCATGCGTCATAGTGGGTTCAGGAGTCCTGTTACATGTGCAACCCCTCATTCCTTCGTCCAAGAACGGTCATTCCACGTACCAGTCAGCTTATCAGAACCTCTCAAGAAAATTCCCAGTTTGCTTCAGACTCGTGAAGGAAAGAACCATTCAGAATATACTCACTCCCTTCAGAGTTAGAGCAGTTAAGAAATAGCCCTATCGTAAGAATTGCGGTTGAAGCTTTTAGTCACCGGATCCTAATTAAAGAAGTCGAGCTGTCTTCCTAGAATTTGTGATTTTTTCGTTATTTTTCAGGTGAATTGCTGCCTCGGCATATGTCCGTATTCCGATCCAATCAATTCTTCTTTGGGCTTTCTATACCTGAACCTGATCAGCAAGAACCGCTTCCGTTGCGGTTACCGAATGCAACAAGTGTTCAACTCGATTTTCTTTATGTAAGCACTTGCTCACTTATCGATGTCCTACCTTCATTCTACCGAAACAAAATCTACAGAAATGTTTTGAAATGAGTCCTGATCGACGGTGGAGCGCGGCAGAACTGCTGCAACATGGATACTTCAATGGATGGCAGTTACGGCTAAAGCCTGAAGAAGTTGGAACACCAGCTGTCATCAAGAAGGTAAATAATTGCAGAACAAAATCAAATAAACAGCAATATGTCACGCTATGTGAGCACCTTACCTTGTTCGGTCGCTATTTTACCTGTACGTTGCTCCTCAAGTGAAGCCTGTACGGGAATAAAAGAAGAAGGTCGAGCTAAATGCACTCCAAGTAGGTGAAGAAAATACCTGAACGATGGCACCCTCTCTATTGTTAGGTTATCGGCTATCTGAGGGCCAAGCAAAGAAGTAATCGACAAACCTGTCATAGGGAGTGAGTGGCTGCTTTCATAGTTCGCGGGCGTGCCGGCCGGCCGAGATAGTGCTAGGGGAGGGGAGGGAGGCAGACGGTCGGTCGAAGGGCTGAAAACAAAGAAGAACAAGATCAAAAACCAAACAACCAGGGGCTCGTGCAAATGGTTTTTGATCTTTCTCCCTTGGCTTGGGCGCGACACGACCACGTCGACCGACGGTCTGCCTCCCTCCTTCCCCCTAGCACTGCCTCGGGTGGCACCCCGGCACGCCGACGGACTATGAAAGCAGCCAGACGAGTCGAAGACTCAGGTTGAGCTAGCCGTTGACTACCAGTGACGGCGCTGCTAGGTGCTGATGATTGGCAGCCTATAAGCAAGTATAAGTTTTGAAATAGAGGAGACACAGTTTCATCATGACACAGTATGAATAATCTCGTATAACATTTTTTTTTCAGCAAACGGCATCAAATTACCTGCCCTATCTGAATGGCACTATGACAACTCTAAAACAGCAGAACTTACCCGCTAACAACAACAATCGTAGTTATCTTCCGTCCATCTGATCGATTTTTGATTGTTATCAA